ACATCTGTGACCTGAGGGCTGGACCAGGTGGTCCCAGGAAGCAGACGCTGGCACAGATTGGGTGCTGGAGCTGCCACCAAGGCCGGTGGGCAGTGGCCTCGTGGCTGGTGGGGAGGTGGGGGCTCCTGCCACGTCAGGGACACGTCCACGTGGTGTCTGGGCTGTGACATCAGGGAAGGGCGTGCACTGGTCAGTGTCCCATCTCAGGGTGTGGTGGGCGGAGGGAACGTGGTAATGGCAGAGCTGGGGTGTCAAGGCTGGTGCCGGGGCCACAGCTGCTGGAGAGACAGGGAGGCTGAGCTCGGCCTCGGTCCCTGAGGACACCCTCCAGCCCTAGGCCTAGGAAACAGCTGGGCACAAGCCCAGGACTTACTTTCGAGGGGAAGGGTCCCCCACCTTGGCAAACCTGCCTGCCAGGGGAACCCACTCAGAAGGGAGGGACTCATTCCCCCAACTGCCCTGAGCTTGCCCTGTCCTGTGCTCCTCAAGGTCACAGCCCCGTCCCAGGGCAGCCACATTCTGAGACTGGTCAACTTGAGGCTACGAAGGCCCAAGGCTTGGGGTCACCGGAGGCCACCTCTGAGCCCCAACCCACGTCTGTGCTTTTCTCCACCAGCTGCGGTCACAGGGGCCTTCCCCCTGGTCTCCTCGTGCTGGTCCCCTCCTCAGAGTCTGCTTCCCGGGGAGCCATCCTGGGAGGTGTTCTCAGAAACCGCCCCCAGGTTCTCCTTCAGCCCCTGGTAGCGCCCCCTCCCCCGGCCACCTGCAGAGAACTGGGTCCCGTTCATGCCATAGCTCCAGGCTTGCCTGGGGCCCTGGAGGGGACAGAGGGCCCAGCCACGGACTGCCGCTCAGTCACCAGGCCGTGCCCTCCACGGCGGTCCAGCAGGGGGTGGACCAGGACCCGCACAGCACAGGAGTGCAGGCACGCGCACCAGGCCGTGCCCTCCACGGCGGTCCAGCAGGGGGTGGAGATGGGACACGTGGACCAGGACCCGCACAGCACAGGGGTGCAGGCACGCACCAGGCCATGCCCTCCACGGCAGTCCAGCAGGGGGTGGAGATGGGACACGTGGACCAGGACCCGCACAGCACAGGGGTGCAGGCACGCGCACCAGGCTGTGGGCCTCCACCTGGGAAAACGCCCAGGGGAAGGAGCCCCCGCTCGATTCCAGCCCTGAAGGGGGAGGTGGCAGGAAGTTTTCCCAATGAGCAGAGCTCTGGAGAAGCTGGGTGAACTTACCACGTGCGGCGTGGACCGGGGGTCCACAGGGCAGGCTGCAGCACCCGCGAGGCTGTGTCCTCACAACCCCTTCAGGACGGACACGCTCACTCGGCCGGCCACTCCGCAAACGAGTGTGACGCTCTCCAAACTGCCCTCTGCCTGGGGGTGCTCGTCACCAGGGTAATTTCCCTCCCCAGGCCACATCCCTGGACCGGGGCGTGTGAGTGGATAGACTGTCTCCTGGCCTCAGCGTGGGGCATCTCCAGGACACCCAGCCCTCAGAGCTTCCCGTGGGATTGGCAGAGTCTTCTCACAACTGTGCCCCAATTCAGCTGCTTGTCCGCCCAGCTGCCTGCAAATCCCGGCCTCGGGGTCCGTTTCCTGGGGGACCGCCGCAGCTACCAGAGAAAGGGCACTGCATTTTGTATGCTTGTCTTATGTCCAGTCCGCTCGCAACATTCTCTTGCCATTTCTGATTTTTTATAGTGTCTTGAGTGTTCAAGACACAGAATCCTATCACCCTCCAATAAAGATAACGTTGCCTGTTGGTTTTCATAGACACACTGCTTGTTGTATTTTATTGACTTGTTTCATTATGTAGGGCTGCCCGACCAATGGTCAGTGCGAGTTGTGGAAGTGAGAATTCCCATGATGTGAAAAGGTGTAGACTTCGGATGTTGTATTAAGGTAGTCTACATCACATGAAGGTGGTTTTCTTCTTATTTTACAGTTTTTTTTTTCTTAAATAAATAAGAAATGGATGGGGTGGTCCCAGAGACATGGAAGTGGGGTACAGACTGACAAGCTCCAGAAGAGGAGGTGGTGGGGAGAGATAAACCACAGAACTTATATGCATGTGTACATGAACAATAGACATGGACAACAAAGCTGGGGACAGGGCGGGGAGGGGGAATCAGTGGGGGGGGAAAGGAGAAACATCTGTAACAAAAATAAATAAATAAATTAAAAAATGTATTATCTGTGGGGAAAAAAAAGAAATGAATATTTCATTGTATGAAATGCTTTTCAAGTATTCTTTGACAAAAAACTTAAATTGATGCAATAAATTGTTGATAGAATTCCTAAAGCTAAGCTGTTTTTGCATTTGTAATAAATTATACTAGTTCATGTTTTCTTAATATACTGAGATAGATGCAATCTGCGAAGGTTTTCTTTAAAATTTTTACATCAGTATTTTTTTCTTGAAATCCTCACCCGAGGATATTTTTCCATTGATTTTCAGATAGAGTGGGAGGGAGGGAGAGAGAGACACATCAATTGGTTGCCTCCTGCACCACCTTGACCAGGGTCAGGGACTGAACCACAACTGAGGTACGTGCCCTTGACCGGAATCGAACCCACAACTCTTTGGTCTGTGGCTGACACTTGGTTACGCTGAGTCGAACCGAGCAGGGCCTACAGCAGTATTTGTAAATAAGATTCACTGTTACTTTGTTTCCCTCGATATTCTAATAAGGCTTTGGCGTTAATGTGATGCTGACTTTCAAAACATAAATGTTGGAATTTTCCATGGGTTGAAATTATCTCAGTAACAGGGAATCCCATGACTTTTGATGGTTAAATGGAACCCATCTCTAAAAATGCTGAGTCTTGTTCCTTTTTAAATGGTGGACGCTCACTGATCCTTCTGTTTTATTCTGCGGTTTTTCCGTTGGCCACTTCCTTCTCAGTTGTCAAGGTAACCGTGGTTTTGGCCAAACCTTCGAGTGTAACACCATCAAATGTTCAAATGAGTCAACCTGCTTCATAATACTTGGATGGGATTTCCACGCTTGCCTGGGTCGAGGGGGCTGACTTTCCTAAGTGGGTTCCTTGGTTGAATTGGGGTACTCAGCAGTAGAACCCTGAGTGTCTTCTCCAAGAGAGGGGCCGCTGTCACAGGTACACTTTAAAGTGGCTGCAGACGGTCCTGGCCGGTTCGGCTCAGTGGTTAGAGCATCAGCCCAGGGACCAAAGAGACTGGGATTCGATTCCAGTCAAGGTCATGTACCTCAGTTGCAGTTAGGTCCCCAGCCCTGTCCGTGGTTGTGCGGGAGGCAACCAATTGATGTGTCCCTCTCACATCGATGTTTCTCTCTCTCTTTCTTTCCCTCCCTCCCACTCTCTCTGAAGATAAATGGAAGAATATCCTCGGGTGAGGATTAAAAAATAAAAATAAAAAAGTGACTGCAGATGGAGTGTGTTATTCACAGAAGACAAATGGTAGCAGGCACGAAAGAGGACACGCACCGTGATGATAGGGGAAGGCCACGTTTACACGCCAAGGGAAGTCTTTCCCGTGGAAGACTGAGAGACAGAATTTCAGAACAGCTCAGTTTCACCGGGTCAAGGTAAACCTGTACCACATCATTAGACATCAGTTTGGCAACTGGTGCTGTCAACACTTAAAATGTGCTAGCCCAGGAGCCCAGGACCCACTACACCTGCCCGAGCGCCCAAGCACGGATGTACAAGGAGGTTCCCGCAACTGTACTGGAAACAACAACATGAACACATCAGACACCCACCTGCAGAGGGACAGTTGGGCAGACCCTGGAGTCACCATTATCAGGATGCGTCATATTTTGTTGTTATTAAGGAAAACAGAGTTGGGTGCAGGCAGGGAATGGCATCTGTGACATCTCGTTGCAGAGAGCCCTCCATGCCAGAGTCGTATGTGCAGTTTGAAGCATTTGTGTAAGTGGTGGGTGTGTGCATGTGTGGTGAGCAACACGTCTAGAAAAGTACATGCCAGACTGTTAACAGCAGTCACCTGGGGAGTGGCAGGGGACGAAAAAGGGGCTTTGTCTTTTTATTTGTATACATCTGTATATTGCTTGACTTTAAACATGAGCATATATTACTTTGACGATAAAACAAAACATTTCTTCAGTGCTTGTGACAAAAACGTGGATGCGATTTTAAGCCGTTTGGCCGTTGCTTTTAGAAGGAGCAATGCCACGGCTTCCTTGCTCTGGGACTTGGACTAAACGTGACTTAGCCTTAAAGGGAACCAGAAAAGACATTAATTCTATTAATTAATGCATCAGCAGATTCCATCTCAGCAAAGGCTGTCTTAATGAGGTGCTGGGGCATCCATTATTTATCTTACAAATATCAACTCTGGGCCACGCTTGTGTCAGGCGATTTAACAGATGTCTCTGCTGAGGGCTCACCCTGCAGAAGCAGAAAGAGCTCGGACCCACTCCTCCCCCACCTCCGGGCCTCACCACCCTCCCTCCGTGGATGGCCTCTGAGCGGTTCCCACTGACCCCAGCTCCCCTGCTCTCTGACCTTGCCCCACACTTTTCACTCCAGGCCTCCTGCAAAGGATCATGCCAGCCTGGATTGCAAACCTCCCTCCCGCCTGCACGGTGGCACCTTGCACTGTCCCTGCAGAACCCCTCTCTCCCCCAGCCTCCTTTCCTGAAGCTAATGGGGAGCTGGGGATACAGAAGCAGCCCAGGTGAGGCCCACACAGGGGCTCCTAGTACCAGTGATGGCACAGAGTCGGAGCTTGAGAAGCCGACCTACCCATATTCCCGTCCCCTCGCCGGGTTTCCATTCCGCATCTCCTGGGGCAGCCTAGGCGTGGCCCACAGAGCAGTCCCCCTTCGCCGCCCTCCCGCCGCGGGAGCTGTTCGTGGTGCTGACCGCAGGCGCGGCCCGCGTTCGGCCGCTGCGCACGCATCCCGGGCGGGGCGCGCAGGGCTCCCCGGCGCCGCCACTGCGCAGCCTCCCGCGCGGCCCGGCCCGGCCTGCGCGCGGCGACCGAGCTCCGGCGGCCTAGGCTCCCGCCCGCGGCCTCCCCGGCCATGGCGCTCAACAATTTCCTCTTCGCGCAGTGCGTCTGCTACTTCCTGGCCTTTCTGTTCAGCTTCGTGGTGGTGGTGCCGCTGTCCGAGAACGGCCACGACTTCCGCGGCCGCTGCCTGCTCTTCACCGAGGGCATGTGGCTGAGCGCCAACCTGACGGTGCAGGAGCGCGAGCGCTTCACGGTGCAGGAGTGGGGCCCGCCGGCCGCCTGCCGCTTCAGCCTGCTCGCCAGCCTCCTGTCGCTGCTGCTCGCCGCGGCGCACGCCTGGCGCACGCTCTTCTTCCTCTGTAAGGGGCACGAGGGGTAAGTGGGTGCCTGGCAGCTCACTCCGGGCCCCCAGCCTCCCCAGCACCCCAAGGCTCTCTTCTCCCCGGGAGCCTGGAGGCCCGAAAATGCCAGTCCTGGGCCCTCAGCACTTTCAGACACAGTGCCCTTTGTCTACACCAGAATCTAGGGCCGTGACGCTCGCTTGTCCTCCGTATGAAGCCAGTGCGTCCCTCTGCAAATGCGCATCACCTCTGGCTTCTGGGCAGTTAGCTCCCATCTTGGGGTGTAGGTGTCGCACCGTCATCCTGAGCAGACCTGGGCCTCTCCCTCTGGCTCCGCGGGGCTTCACCTGTCAGCACCGCGGACAGCTCCACCCCTGGTCTGGGGCCGGTGCTCTGCTCTGATGAGCGCTGGAGGGACCAGGCCAGGCCCTGTGCGACATGGCGTACTGGGGGGTCCTCCCCTCACCCCTTTGTCTTTAGAAGGCTGATGGTGGGAGCGAGTCCGGAGGGAAGCCCCCTGAGGCCTTGGCTGGGGGATGCGCGGGCGGAAGCCAGTGTGCAGGGGCCCTGCTTCGTCCTCACAGCCTCCCTTCTCCCTGGCCTCCATCTCTTCACCTCCTGCCTTGGCGCTCTGTTGGAGGCCGGGGGGATGCAATTCCCCTGGGGGTGGGAGGAGACACCTGGAGGAGGGGTGAACTCTTAGCCACCCATGTGTATGGTCTCCGGGGCTGCTATAACAAAGTGCCCCCCTCTCTCACAGTTCTGGAGGCCTGAGTCCAACATCAAGGTGTCACCAGGGTTGGTTCCCTCTGAGGGAAAACCTGTCTCTTTTCAGCTTCTGGTGGCTGTTCCTTGGCTGAGGGTTTATCGGTCCAGGCTCTGTGTCTGTCTCCCCATGACCTCTTCTCTCTTCGCCTATATTCGTACAGGGCACCTCTCAGGATTTGGAGCCCACCCTAATCCAGGATGCCCTCACTGGAGATGAGCTTAATGACATATGTAAACACCCTGTTTCCAAATAAGTTCACATTCAGAGGTGGGGAGGGGTGGCTCGGACATATATTGTTGAGAACACAGTTCACCTACTACATGAAGGCTCTGGATTTGGGGTCTGCAGGAAGTCAGGTGTCAGCCTGGGGAGACCTCCTGGTGCTGTGGGGCTGGGGGTCTGCCTCGGGGGAGCCTAGGCCAGTCCCAGGGTGGTGTCCTGACCTCAGGATACATTTGAGACATCATCTACACCCACATTGGCATGTCCAGGTGCTGCCCCAGTTGGTGACCTTGTGCAGGTTGGGGAAGGAGCAGTGTCTCTGAATATGGGATGGGGTCTGAGGAAGAGGATGGCACGGTCAGCAGGGTGGGAGGTTGAGGTTCCTTCAGTCTGGGAAGCTGAGGACTGTGGGCACAGGTCGTGTGGAGGCCATGGTTTGGCCATCAGCTCATGCCCATCATTCCAGCTTGTCCCCATGAGACATGTGGCCTCTAGGCGTTCAGAGTCCAGCTGGTGAGGACATGTAGCCGCTCCCCAGGTAGAGCCCAGCCCGTGTGGCTCAGAGTGAGGTGACTTCAGACCTCCAGAGTCTGGGAGCAAGCGGGGCAGCGAAGAGCCGGGAGACAGGAGTCCTGGTCACACAGGGCTGCCCATCTCACGCATGCTGGGCAGCAAACCTGGGGAATCCCTAGCTACAGCCCTGTCCTTGGTCATCATCTAGAGAGGTGTCCGTCAGCTCTGTGCAGCTGCCGTCGCCATCCCCACTGTATTTTATTTTTTTCTTTATTGATTTGAGAGAGGGAGAGAGAGAGGGAGAGGAAGAGAGAAACATCGATGAGAGAGAACATGGATTGGCCTCCTCCTGCGTGCTCCCTACTGGGGATCGGGCCCACAACCTGGGCATGTGCCCTGACTGGAAATCAAACTGGTGATCTCCTGGTGCAGGGGTCAGTGCTCAACCGCTGAGCCACAGTGGCCGGACTCCACCCCTATTTTAAAGACAGAAGGCTGAGGCTCGGGTGTTCCATGTCTCCCTGTGCTCTGCCATGTGCACATCTGGGAAGATATCTCTTCTCCAGAGAAATCTGTCCTCCTTGGCCATCAGGACTTATTGTCCAAGGCCACATGGCCATGCAGCTGCCTGCCCCCACGCTGCCCACCTCAGTCCGGTTGGCAGTCCGTCAGATGCATGACACCGGCCGGCAGTGCCCATTCCTCCTCCTAGTCCTGGTAGAAGGACGCGCTCAGGGCTCTCATGGCCGTCCAGGCCATGGCTGTCCCTGTGAGGGACCCTGGGCCAGGTGGACCCAAGGCAGCTGGGTACCTTGTTCATCTTCCTGTGCTCTGGGCTGAGCACAGGGCCGAGTGCACGGGAGTCACCGAATGAGTGTTTGTTGAGCGAATGACAGAAGGATGTCTGCACCCCAAAAGCTGCTGCTCCGTAGCCACGTGCCCGGCCCTGATGTCTCCTGGATTCACAATCTGGCCAAGATGCCAAACCTCCAGGCTGGCTGTGTCCGTGGGTTCTGGACCCCCCAGGAAGGTTGGGCCAGCCTCATCCAGCCGCAGGCAAGATGGTTAACCAGAGATGCCAGTCCCAGCTCAGTTGTTGGTCCATCTGAGTAGACCAGGGGAGCAAGAGCTGGGCCAGCAAGGGGATGCGGGACAGTCAGGCGGCCGGGAGGGCCCGTCAGAGTGAGTGCCTGGGATGGACGAGGGTGCTCAGGGCCATCCACAGCCCTGCACGCAGCCCCCCGAGACCCCACTGCCCGTCACACTCGGGTTTGAAGGCCCTTCCTGTTCAGGGTTAGTGCACCCTGGTTCTCTGATGAGTCCAACTTCGCAGACAGAGACCGAGGGCAGGGCCCCACCCTCCGGTCTGTGTGAGGGCTCACGGCTGGGTCCCAAGTGCGTGGGTCAGGCACTGTCCATGGTGCCAGCTGCCTCCTCGTGGGGCCTGGCAGCTTGTGCCCAGGACTGCAGGGGCAGCTTTCTGCACGGGGCACCCTGGCTGCTGACTGAAGGAATGAGTGGGCGGTTCTGGCCCCTGTGGTCTCCCGGGGCTCTTGCTTCAGGGCAGATGGATGGGCTGAGGTTGAGCTGCCGGCCAGGGGGCCTGAGCAGCTTTCCCGGAGCGGAGCCCTGCGAGCGTCCAGGTGGCGGTGGCTTGTGATTGACGGCTGGGGAGCACTGGGTTAAAACAACCCATCTGCCTGCCACAGCCTCCCAGGGCTTCCCGGGATGCTGTCACCATGGAGACGGCACATCCAGGCAGGGCACCCTGAGAGGCTGCGGGAGAAAGATGGCGTTAACCCTGTGTGTGCGGCTCCCGTCCCGACGGCTGCCCTGGCCAGCCCTGGGGAAGGGGGAGGGGTTGAAGCCAGCGCTAAGTGAGGCTCTGGACACCCCCAGTTCTTCCAAAAGCTGTAGAGCAGGGACAGGTTCCAAAGAAACCACCCAGAAATGGACGAGAGGAGTGGGAGGGAGCTGTCGGCAGTGACCTCAGCCTGGCGCCCTCCCCTGTCTTGCGGGCTGGGGTGTCCATGATTTGGTCATGGGAAGAGAATCCAAGTCATGCCGGTTTCCGAGGGATGCGGCTGGGGCGGCGGGCGGGGTTCCTGCGTTTGGAGGTTGTGTTGCAAATGGCCCTGGGGGGCAGAAGGGCAGCTTTCTGATGGGGCAGTTGGACCCAGAGTCTGCTGTGTCTTGGACCTGCTAGAGCCCCCTGGGACCACCATGTTCTTGGCTGAGTCGTCCTTACAACCTGAGCTCACCCAGCCGCATCTGCACGGAGCATAGCTGGCCCTGGAGCCACAGACTCCGGGCGTCTGGTTCCCCAGGGTGGCTCAGCAGCCTCTCTGACCCCACTTCCTACAGCCCATCCCCATGGGCATGGCCCAGCCCCATCGAGCTCCAGGAGCCCAGTTCAAGGCCCAGAGAGCGGGATAGGCCCCGCAGCCGGACTCCTAAGGCCCAGAGAGCAGTGAGCGGCCCAGCCCTGATGGCGGCAGAGGTCCGTCCTGGGGAGGGTGTGTGCATGGGAGCACCCCGCGTGGGCCCTCAGTTCGACCCAGTTTACAGAGGGGGAAACCAGAGAGCAATTTGAATGAACGGTGCATCGATCCTGCCTCGGTCCGTGGTTGTCACCTGCCGATGACAGCAGTCTAGGTGTTTCTGTGGCTGAGATTCCAGCTGAGACCTTGTCTAGTGAATGTTCACTGTGAAGCATGTCATTTTCCTCAGACCGCGTGTGACAGGCTGATGTGCACGTCACACCTGCCCGCAGGGGAGAGGAGGGCCCGGCTGCTGTGCCCCCTGAGAGAGACCCCTGGGGTCCCCGTGTGGGACAGTCCCTGTCTCCCGTCCCCGCAGCCTCAGAGAGCATCTAGGCTCGACCAGCCGGGGCTCACGTGCAGGACTCAGATCCCGAGGGGCTATTCAGAGGTGTGGGATGGTGGGTGGGGTGGGGTGAGGTGTTCTAGCTGCGTGCCCCGCCCAGTGCCTTCCGAGGGCAAACGCTGGTGCCTGTGAGCGCATGGGGGAGGGGCAGGCCCCGTGGACCCTGGGAGGCCCTTGCCGCCCGGGGCAGTGCAGCCGGGCCTGAGCGGGATAGGCCCCGCAGCCGGACTCCTGGGCGGCCCGCCCCACCTGGTCCCAGCTCAGCCTCAGCTTCAGTGGGGACATCAGAGCAGGTCGTGCACAAGCCCCCACCGAGGCCCAGGCCAGCCCCTGTGGGCAAAGGGCCCCGAGGGGCGTCTCGTCTTTCCGCACGTGGGCTGGTATCACGCAGCCTTGACCTGAGGTCTGGCTCTGCCTTTCTGGAAGGGGTGGCGACAGAGGTCCCCGCTCCTGGGTCTCTGGGAGGACAGGGCAGCCTGGGGCCAGCCCAGCTGGGACCCCGGGGCTGGGTGGCGCCTTCCACGGTGGCCAGGCCCTGCGGGGGGTGGTGCAGGAACCCGGGTGGTGCTCAGGGAAGCCCGCCCGTCTGTCCCTCCGCAGCTCCTTCCTCTCTGCCTTCCTGAACCTGCTGGTCAGCGCCTTCGTTGTTTTCCTCGTCTTCATCGCCAGCACCATCGTGAGCGTGGGCTTCACCATGTGGTGTGACGCGGTCACTGAGAAGGGCACCGTGCCCCACAGGTACCCCGGGCCCGTCCTGCGGCTCCCTGGACGGCCCCTTCCTGTCTGAGTCCTGTCCTGTGCCGGCGGCTTTGCTCACCCGGGGCCCACACCTGCGCATGCCTGCCACCCCTTCTCTGGGCCTGCCCCCCGCGTCAATGCCCCCTCCTAGGGAGGGAGCAGCTTCACCCAGAGCAGCCCCCCCCCCCCCCCGTGGCTCTGCGTGGGGGTGGCGGCCCCGGGGCTCAGAGCTTCCAGCTGCCTCATCATGTCCGGCATGTGGTTGGGTGACAGGTCCCAACAGGGTGGGCCCAGGCTGGGGAAGTCTGGATGTGGCTACGTGGTGGGGCAGAGGCTGGCCGGGGTGTGGTGACTGGAGGCTTTGGAAGGTGGTGGGGTGGTGAGAACAGGTTGGAGCAGATCGGGCTCAGAAGACTTCCAGACCGAGTGGCTGGGGCCAGCAGGGCGCAGTGTCTGCCTTGGGCATGGCCCGAGTGGAGCCTCAGAGGGGCTGCCCGTTGCCACCCTAACAGGCAGCGCCCTGTCCCCAGGCCAGGTCCCTGGAAAGGCAGGGCCCTCGGGTCACCTCTCCCAGAAGCTCCCGATTCTTTAGCAAAATGAGACCTGGACCCTCCCGTATGACAGGGCCTGGCGCCTGTGCCGCGGCCGGGGTCACACGCCGGGGGAGGTCTGAGCATCCGGGGTGGCTCATCAGACTCCATTCATTGTGGTGGGTGGAGTCTTGCCCACCCTGAGCTGAGCTCTGCCCGCGGGGCCCCCCAGGCCACCTGCTTTCTCTCCTTCCGGGGCCTCAGAGCCAGGTTGCCCGGGCTGGCCTTGGGCTTCTGCAGGAAGGTGGCCGGCTTTCTCTTCCTGACAAACACCAGCTCCTGCCCTCCCCTCCCCTCCCCCGCCCCTCCAGGGCGAGCCCAGGCCTCTGGGCCTCCCCCTCTCTGGGCTTCATGCTTCTGTGAAGGTGTCCTGACGTCTCAGGGGCCCCTGGAGCCACGCCTCGGTCACTCCAGGCTCTGAGGCCCAGCCCAGCCTGCCCACTGATGGGGTTCGTGAACCACCTAGGCCTGTGGTTTATCCTGTCGGTCCCCGTGTTCATGGGCCAGGGACAGCGTCTCCGGACAGCAGAGGCTACCGCTGCGTCCCCCACCATCCAGGGCCAGGCTGGGGTGGGTCTGTAGGGTCCCTGCTGCAGATGAGGCATTAGGGATCCTGTCTGCCCCCACTAAGGACAGCCCCCGCCCTTTGGGGTGCTGCCTGCTGCTCGGTGCTTGCAGGCCAGCGGTCACCTTCCCCTGTGTCCTGCTATTTCAGCTGCGCAGAGCTTCAGGACATCAACCTGGAGCTGAATGTGGACAACTCCGCCTTCTACGATCAGTTCGCCATTGCCCAGGTAGGCGGGGCTTTTGAGTGGGTGGGGCTTCCAGGTGGGCGGGGCAGGATGGGAGGCCAGCCCTGCCCTCCAGGAGCCGGTGGTGACTCTGGAGACCGAGTTGGCAGGAACACAGGCATGTAGGGACATGTTGATGGTCAGTGACGGCCTGTCCTTCACTCTGTGTTGGTCCCCATTGGGGGACACAGATGACCCCGGTGAGGGGGCGCCAGGGTGGGGGTGGCTTCAACACCACCCCGCAGGGCTCACCGGCCCCCAGGTCCCGTCCTTTCGCAGTGGCCGGGTGGGTGGGCGTGCAGAGCGGTGGGCTTGCACCTGGCCGGGCCCTGACAGAGCCCCCTGCCCTCGGTGCAGTTTGGCCTCTGGGCCTCGTGGCTGGCCTGGCTGGCCATCACCGCCCTGGCCTTCGTCAAGGTCTACCACAACTGCCGCCAGGAGGACCTGCTGGACAGCCTGGTCCACGAGAAGGAGCTGCTGCTGGCCCGGCCGGGCCCCCGCGCCTCCTTCCAGGAGGAGAAAAGTGCCATCATCTAGGGGCCCCCACACCCCCACTGCCCGGGGAGGGGCTGGGGTCTGCCTGCATGTCTCCCCGAGGCACTGTGTTGTGACCCTGCTCACCCGAGCGCCCGTCCCGATTCCCGCTGTGACCGGTGGCTGACCGGGGCGGGCTGGCCCTCAGCGGGGCGGCACAGAGGACCTGGGGCTGTGCGGACCTCCATGTGCCTGCCCAGTGAGGCCTGGCTGGCGAGGCTGGTGGCAGGGTGTCCAGCCCCTCAGACCGCTTTGACCGTCAGGTCCGGCTCCGCCCCTTGTCCCCCGTGTGATTCTGTGCACATTTCCTGGAAGCACCCTGTGTCCCCAGAGTGACCCCACCAGCCCCCGATGGCTACACATCACTCTTGTCAGTTGCTCCTGAGTGTTTGTGGGACAAGATCCTGTGACCTGGGGCAGGCTGAGCACAGGAAGGGGCTTACGTGCGACCCGACTCCTGGCCCTGAGCGGCCACCCCAGGCTGAGCCCCTGTTCCAGGCCAGGGTCCCCAGGCGTCCAGGCCCGGTCTTGGCATGGAAAGTGCAAGGACAGTCGTGTTGGCCTGGACTCACGTGGTGGCTGTGTGGGTGTCCTGGGAGTGGCCGCAGGGCCCAAGTGGGGACCCCTTGTGGCTGGGCCCAGCGTTTGCCTCACTGTGTGGGCTGGGCCTGTGCTGGCGAGTGGGAGGGGCCAGGTGCCACCAAAGGTGTCTGCGTGTGCATGTGAGGGTGTGCGTGTACACGTGTGAGTGTGCGAGTGTATGAGAGCATGCCCGTGCCCTGTGTGAGTGTATGCGTGTGAGCATGTGAGTGGGTGAGTGTGCATGAGCGTGGTGAGCTTGGGAACACATACACGTGTGTGCACGTGCAGAAGTGTGTGTGAGCATGTGAGCATGCGTGTGCACAATTGTGAGTGTGTGCATGTGAGCTTGTGTGTGCATGGAAGGGGTGGGCCGAGACCAGAGCAGGTGCGGACATGTGGTGTGTCGGGCAGCTTCTTTGCACCTCCATCTGCTGGGGAGCCCAGTGCCCCAGAATCTGCTGGGAGTTGTTTAGACAGAGCCTGAGGCCCCCAAGTGGAACTGCTCTGGCCTGGCCCAGACTGCCAGCCCTGGGGACCCTTTCCAGCCTCTGCGGGCTCCTGGTCTTTCCCGGGCAGAAGTGGGGTGGCTCTGCCTTGACCCCCAGCCAGGCAGCAGCCGCCGGGCAGAGGAGGAGCAGGGGCCTCTGGAGCCCAAGGGGCTGCCCGAGCTCTGGGTCTGCAGCGGACTGCCCGGCGCTGGTCTGGACGGCCCCTGGGCCAAGCTCGCGGAGACCTGCAGCCGCTTACAGGGCTCGCGACACCGGCCGTCTCAGGCCACCTGCACCCCGTACCTCCAGGCTTCCAGAGAGGGGCAGCTGGGACCCGGGAGTGGGTGTTGGGGAAAGAGCTGCGGGCCCTTCAGCGGGCAGGGATGGGCCCTCCTGGGCTGGACAGGAAGGGCAGCGGGGTTCCTGGGCTCCGGACGTGGGGCACCCATCGCTTCTCCCTGCTGTGTGATAACGGCCACCCAGTTTCAACTCCTTCTGGCTACACGGAAGTAAAGATTCTTCAACTTAAATGTATGTATTTCTCCAAGTCAAAATAAAATGGGAACACCGGACCCTCTGACGTGAACGTGTCTGAGCCCCCTTCAGAATTCCATTCCCCCCGTCATTGAAGGGTCAAAACCTGCCTCCGTGTTTGCTCCTGGGACCCTCCCTCGCCCCTCCCCCACGTCCGCACGCGCCCTGGCGGGGCCTTCCGGTGGCTTCCACAGGTGAGGACGGGGGTCTCGTTCATCTCTCAGGCCGACAGCGTCCACTTCGAGCAGTTTTTTTTCCAGAAACAGCGGGGTCGTCGTCTGTGGTCCTGCAGAGCCGGCCAGTCTGTCTGTGGTCTCTGCAGTGACCAGCCCTCGGCCCTGAGGATGGGTCGCCCGTCCCTCCCTGCTGGTGTGGTCCTCAGACAGGACACTGCTGGGCGGGCTGAGCCTGGGGCCGGGGCCAGCCATGAGCTTGGGCACGTGACTGGACCTCTGAGCCTCCATCTCCTCGTCTGGAATATGGGGCGATGACCTGCCCATCCTTTGCAGGGGGTGCGGTGAGATGAGATGAAGTCCTGGGGGCCATGCTGAGAGTCCCTGAGGTCCAGGTGTGGGTCCCTCGAGGCCGCAGGTCCCTCTCTGCTGGGCCTTCCACTCTGGAATCCCGGGGTGGTGAAGCCAGAGAGGCCCTGGAGACCCCAAGGGGAAGGCCCAGGGTCCCCATCTCTGCTTTAGCCACTGTCGGGAAGACTACAGAAGGTCGGTCCCATGTCCCCCTCTGGGTGAAGGCCCCGGGCTGAAAGAGCCACAGTGTGTTTTATAGAAAGTCAGTGTTCCCATTAAAGTAGTGGGGACAGACACTCTGAGGGATCCCCGGGGGACATGCACCTGAAGGCTGTCCTGGTGGGGGGCTCCGCCTGGCCCTGGGCCTCCCCGCTCCATGCAGGTCCCGTGGGCCTTGGAGCTGGTCACTGAGTGGCTCCCCCGGCCCAGCACCACACACGGTCACGGGACCCACGGGCTCTGCCACTGGTGCGCGACGCTTCCGAAGGTGACGGGGTCCGGCCAGCCTGCGCCTCGGCCTGTGGCTCCCCCTCTGCCCACACCACCGGGCGGATGGCTGGGCAAGACACATTTCCTCCGGGGTGTGGAGTCCCCAAGCTGAGGCCCAGGGCAGGGTCAGAGCCGGCACCCCAACGGCATGCAGCTTCAGGAGGAGCCTGCGAGGAGACTGGGGAGGGGATGCCCCCCACCCCCCACGACGGACCCAGCTCTCCTGCCGGGGTTTCAGGTCTGGGCCCTGCAGGTCCTAAGTGGCTGACGGCCTGTTTCCGCTTCTCCGAGGAGCACAGGGCAGTGTGCCCACCTCCAAGGGCGACAGACACACCAGGCCGAGGGCACCGAGAGCTCCGATGGGACGAGGAAGGGTCTGAGGGCCCGCCTGGGGCCCGGGCTGTGGGTCCTGACGTCTAGGAGCGGCCCCCTTTTCTAATGAGCCCCCGTGGGCCTGCCTGTGACCCGGGGCCCCACCTGCCGCCGCCTGGGTGCTGGGCTCACCCGATGCTGCCCAGCCTCCCCGGGCTCCCTGCCGCGGGCTGGGGCTGCTCGGTCGGGCCTCAGAGGGACAGGAAGCAGCGCCAGCAGGTGAGGACCACCTGCCGCAGGCGCAGGGCGAGGACGAGGAGCCGGGCGCGGAGGTCCTCCAGGGCCAGCGCGATGGGCTTGTCCCGGCCGCAGTACAGACCCAGCAGCAGCACCAGCAGCAGGCACAGGGACAGCCGCAGCACCAGGGAGCCGCGGCCGCGGGGCCGGCGCCGATGGGGCGCTGGGGGCCGAGGGGAGGGGCAGGTGAGCTCCAGCCCTCGCCCCCCCAGAGGACCCGGGGGCTCCCTTCACCCTGTGGGGCTGGCACCATGGCTCTGCTTGTCGGGGTGGGGTCTCTGGGGTCACTCCATAGTCCTCATGGGGTGTGGAGGTCCCCCACCCCTGCCGGGCCTCTGGGGGTGTCCAAGGGTGGCCTGCTGAGGGCCCCTGGGGGTTGGGGGGAGGGATCAGACTCACCTTTGGGGGTGGGGGTGGGCTCCCTGCCGGCGATGTCTGGGGAGGAGAACTAAGAGTGGGCTTGGGCCGTGAGGGCCTCTGTGGGGCACCATGAGCTGCCAGGCACCCCAGGGCTTCTCACCTCACCCTGCCCACCCAAAGGACCCAAACTCCCCGCTTTGCAGACAGAGGCCCCACTGTCCACACCCCACCGCCCGGGGCCTCTCCGCCTCGCTGCTGCTTCGAGGTCAGGCCAGAATAGGGGACCCCGAGACGCTGGGCGCTGCTCTCGGAGCCTGTGAGAGTTGGGGTGCGGTGGCCCTACAGACAGCCGGGGGCCACGGGCTGGTGGGCCCGGGGGCAGAGGCATCTGGGGAGGGCCGGGCAGGACCCCACCCCATCTCCCCCCCACTGCTCACTGGGGGACCCTGGACTGACCCCGACTGTCTGGCCCTGTCTGCAGTCTCTGCTTCCTCCTTGGGGAGAGTGAGGAGTGGCCTCTCTGTGGGGCCGAGGGTGAACCCCACGGGGGGGGGGGGCGGGGAGTTCATCCTGAGGGGCCATCGGGAAGACCCTGGCGTGTGTCAGGGCAGCAACTTTTAGCCACAACTTGGGACTCACGAAGCACTGTCCTTGGGGGACTGGGCAGGCAGGATCTAAGATGTCCCCATGATTCCCACCCCGCGCCCTTGCCTTTGTGTAGGGGACTCAGTGTGGGGACCGTTTCTACCCGACGGAATGTGTCAAAGGGGAGGGTCCTCTGCGTGAGGAAGATCCCCAGGGGGCTCTGGGTCAGTCCACAGGGAGGTCATCCTGACTGGCCCGGCTCAGTCTGCTGAGTGCCTTGGAAAAGGATCTGAGGTCAGAGTCGGCCACTGGCCTCGAAGGCCTGGCTGCTGAGTTCTACAGCTGCAAGCAAGTCCATGCTGCAAAGAACCTGTGAGCCTGGAACGGGCCCCGGGCTCAGGACAGGCCCCGCCCTTGCCGCAGCCTTGTGGGACCCCCGCAGGACCCCCGCCGCCGAGCCCAGGCCGGCTTGCCCTGCCCCCTCTTACAGTGGACGGCCACCTCCAGGGGCTCGTGGAACCTCACACGCCTTGAGGTCCTCTGTGGCTCCACCCCACGGTCACGGCGCTCCGGCGGGCTTCGCCTCAGGATCGAGGGGGGCCGCTTCCTGTCGCCCTCCTGGGGCAAGGGTGGCAAGCAGAGGAAGCAGGTGGAGATGAGCCCCCCACCCTGGAGGCTGGAGACAGGCTGTTCTGCCAGGGTCCCTGCAGCCTCCTGTGGGTTTATGCAGCCAGACCACCTCTGGGGGACCAGACGGGGCATGGAGACCCCTGCAGACCTGCTCCTGGCCCCCCACTGCACACCCCCACGCCCCGCTCAGGATCAGCCAGAGTCAGGTGACTGAGCAGTGTCAGCGGTGCCGCAGACAGGGTCAGTGACCGCGCAGGCCCGGGTCTCCTGGCCAGGCTGCCCCCAGCCACCCTGACAGGTCGTAATAGTTTTTACATGTCAATAATAATGACAACGAGACGGTCACTGACCCCGCCGAGGGCCGTCTTCATGTCCCAGCTACACCTGCAAAACCTCACTGACCCTGGAGCCCTCCGTGCGGGGGTCTCTGCACTGGCCCTGTCCCAGCTCGGTGCCCTGGGTGTCACACACTGGGCCTCCATCACTCCCCCGGACAGGTGAGGGGTGTGAGCACAGGCCACTGGCCAGGGCGGGGCAGAGCCTGGCACGCGTCCGCCCAGGGCCGCCCTCCCACACACTCAGCGTGACTGTGGACGGCGCAGACCACACTGGGCCTCAGTGTTCTCGTCTGTCCAATGGGGACAACAGCATGTCTGAGTGTGGGAACACCCTGTGAGCCGGGGCCTCTGCCGAGATGGCTCCTGGCCAGGGGCCCCTGCTGCACGGAGCCTGCCGCTGGCCTCTGAGGTGGGGGTCGCCCTGCTTGGGCTGGACACCCACCTGTCCTGGGGCTTGGCCTAGCTCATGGCTGTCCTGGCCCCTCGGCTGGGGCATCTGTCCTGTGGACTGCTGAGGCCTGGCACTGAGCTCAGCGGGGCTGTCTTCCCCAGTGCGCTCTCTCCTGACCCTTTGTCCTGGGTCCAGACCTGTCCCAGCTGCCTCCTGACAGCCTCTCTGGTCTTCCTGTCTCCACCCTCTGTCCCTCCACAACCTCCTCCCTGGGCTGCCAGGGAGACCTTGCCAGGGAATCATCGGACTAGTCACTACCCTGCTCCAGAGCCCTCCATGGCTCCCACTCCCTCTGCCTTCGCCCCTGCCTCTCCCAACCTCTCTGACTTCCTGTCTGCCCCCGCCCCCAATGATGGTTGAACACGTGTCACAGTCAGTCATGCTGTGTCCCCTCAGGCTTGCTGCCCTCACTGCCCGCCCCGATGTCAAAGTGTCGCTTCCTGTGACCTCCTCTCCCAGAGGCCCTGGGGCTGGAGACCAGGCCCGTCTGTGCGCCTGCCTTACCCTCCCTGCCCTGGGCACGGGTGAGCCCGGAGCGGTCTCCACATTCTTCCTGGTCTGATGTCGCGTCTCCGGCCGGGAGTCAGGGCTCAAGGCGGGCGCTGCCGTCCTCATTTACTGTGACATGGTCCGAAGGTGAGCAGAGACGGTTTTCCTGGCACCAGCAACACCTGTAGGAGCAAAACAAAGGTTGGGGACTCCTAGGAGCTGCCTGGCTCCCGGCGCCCCGGGCGAAGGACAGCTTCGGGGCGGGACCTACTCCGAGGCAGCTGAGGCCACCCCACAAGGAGCAGGCTGTCTTGGGTGGCGGGAGCTGCAGGGGGTTGGGTGAGGGTGGCGTGCATCCGGGCTCCGGAGCCGTCCCCGGGAGACGGCCGCTGCTGTGCCCGTGACCCCCGGCGGCACACATCTCGCGGCCGAGCCGAGCGCCGTGAACGATGCCCGTGCAGACGCGCCTGGGCTGCTTCCATTATTCCAAAAGGAAACAATTTTCTCCTGTCGCAGCATCAGGTTTTTTATTGCAAACAGGGTCGTGGCAGGAGCCACCAGCCCAGGGAGGAGGAGGCGGGAGGGAGGCTGGCCGAGCTTTGGGACTCACTCTCTCGGAGGTGGCCTGAGGGCACAGGCTCAGGGGTGGAGTTGGCAGCAGAGGCCACCAGTGTCCCCAAGGCAGGGGCTCAGTCCCCAGGGGTACCTTTTAGGTGAGGCAATAGGCTCGGAGATGCTTGGGACTGGCCGAGCCACCCAGGGACCCGCAGGGCCGAGCCCTTGATGGCACAGCCAGCAGCACCCGAGGTGGAGTCACACTGTGCAGGCTCCTGAGTCTGCTCCAGAGGGGGTGGGGCAGCAACGTGTGAGTGTGTGCACATGTGGGAGAACATGCATGTTTGCGCACGTGTGCACACGCAGAAGTGTGCATATATGTGTATGTGCACACATGAGTGTGTGGGACTTTGCATCTACATGTATGTGAGTGTGCATGTATCTGTATGCATGTGTGTGCACATAAGTGTGCTGGGCGTGCACACGTGTGTATGCATGTGTGCATGTAAGCATGCTGGGTGTGCTTGTGTGTGTTCTGGGTGTGCATGTATGTGCATGTAAATGTACTGAATGTACATGTGTGTATGCATGTGTGAAGTGTGTGTGTGAATGTGCAGTGTGTTTGTGTGTGTCCCTTCAGTGACTGAGTGCAGATAGCCCGATGGGTTCAGCCAGCTTCATCCCATGCCTAGTGTTACCATGGGCAAGTCTCTCACCTCTCTGTGCCTCAGTCTACCCAGCTGTAAAATGGGAATAATAACAGCAACCCTCTCCATGGGCCCTTGTGTGGGTGAGCGAGGTGGCACATGTCAAGGGCTCAGAAGCAAGTCTGGGACAGAGCCTGTGCTTGGGGACGTGAGCCATTGCTGTGATCATTCAGGGAGTGTGACTTCATCCACCTGGGACAGTTCCATCCTCTGAATGGACATTCCTACGGGTGTCCCCTTCCCCCAGCACCCCTTGGGAGCACCGCACTCTCTCTGGCCTGGGCCTGGGCCTTCTTGGCTCCGTTCGCCTCGCTCCCTGCCTTCTGTACTTGGACGGTCTTGCTCGGGCCCCAGCCCCTTCTGTGTGGCAGTGGTGTCTTTGCTGCCCCCGAGGACGTGCTCGAGTCCTGCGCTCTGTCCTTCTTTGGCTCAGGGACCTCAGTCAGCGGAGTGACTGCTCTGGGCCTCAGTTTCCCCACGGGCACCATGAGGGGCGGGCATGGCTGAGCAGGCGAAGGCTGCTCTCAGCACGGCCTCCCACCTGCCCCCACAGGCCTCTGCTCGCCCAGCACCTCCCCCAGGGCTGGACACCAGAGGGCAGGGCCTGCGTGGGAGCAGGAGGCCTCTGGCCCTTGGCAGGGATGGTGTAACTCGAGTGCCCTCTGCTCCGAGGCCAGCTCGTGACAGATGGGTGATAAAGGGTGGAAAATAGCTCCAGGGCCTGCAGAGTGTCACCCCTGCACCCGCCCAGGCCCGGAGACCACGCCCCTCTGAGGGCACCCCCCTCTCACCTCTGGGGTGGACAGGGAGCCCTGGCCCCTGACCTCTACCCCAGAGTAGGGGTCTGGCCAAAGCCACCACCTGCGGCACCCCAGACAGTCTGTGGGGTTCGGGCTAGTGCTGCCCTCCTGACCCGCAGGGCCCAGCGGCCCACCGAGGCTCCTTCCAGCCCCGCTCGCTTGGCCGCTCCCACCAGCCTGCAGGGTGTGAGGCCAGCGGGGCCTGCTCTCCCCGGTTCAGCACCTCGGGTAATGCCAAGCCCGGGGCCCGGCCACCTCTCCTGCCACCCACCCCGTCCCATTGCTCCGTGACACCACCCACTGGGCCTCCTACCTCCTCGGCCAGGCGGTCCCTCTGAGACCCCTGTGTCTGCCCGCCCTGCATGGGGAGGGATCCTTGTCAGCACCCGTACCCCTCCCAGTCACCTCTCAAACCCTCGCTGTGCCCGCCCACCCACGAGAGCCTCGGGCACCGGGGGCGGAGGAGACTGCCAAGGCTCACCAGGTCCCTCCTGCTGTCCTGTCGCCGGTGACACCTACTCCAGGGGCCCCTCGGCTGGTAAAGCCACACCGGACTTTGAGTGGGAGAGGCTGGGGCTCATGGGACCCCTGCTCATACATCACGTAAGCACACGTACACGCCTCCCTTACATGTACAACACCCCCCACATGTACACACACGCCAGACACACATACCTACACACACACACCACATACACACTCACACACACACCACATATACACTCACACACACCCCACATATACACACTCACACACCCACACACCACATCCACATACACCCCACATATACACACTCACACACACACCACATCCACACACACCCCACATCCACACACAAACCACATCCACACCCCCCACATATACACACACTCACACACCCCACATATAAACACTCACACACACCCCACATATACACACACACCACATCCACACACCCCACATATACACACACTCACACACCACATATACACACACACCACATACACACACACCCCACATATCCACACTCACACACACCACATCCACACACACCCCACATATACACACTCACACACTACATACACACATACCCCCCCCACATATACACACTCACACCTGCACTGCTGGCCCACCTGGGCTCCGGTGGGCACTGCACCGCCGTGCGAGCTCACCCACCTGCCCCTCGATCGCTGCGATCAGAGCCTCGGGCAGAGCGGACACCAGAGCTGCCCGGCTCACAAGCCAGCTGAGGAGATTCCATTACCGCCCAGGGGCAGCGGCCTGAGTGGCCCGAGGGCCCGGCCACCTTGTCTCCTTCTGGATAGTCCAGCCCTGGAGCAGGCTGTCACCGCGGGCTTGGTGGCTCTGGGTGGCATTTGACCTCCGGAGGGCAGGCGTTTGCTCTGGGCAGCCTGGCCGAGACTGCCCCTTCTCCCAGCTGGAAAGGAGCGGGGGAGCGTGGACACCCCCACGTGGCCTCCCGGGGGAGGGGCGGAGCGAGGGCCGGCACGGGCGATAGGAGGGAAGAGGCCGCAGCTCCCCGGACAACAGCGCCTCTGAATTAAGCAAGAGGAGAGCTGGGAGCCCGGCCGGGCTGACCACTCCCTCACTGGCTGGCCCGGGCTGGGGCACCGGAAGGAGCTGTCCTGGGGCCCCTTCCCATACTACCGTGTGGGCCCACGTACTGGGGTACAGTTAGGACGTGGGTGACGGCAGGACTGAGTGACGGCTGTGCGTCTGCTGGGTGCAGGGGGGTGTCCTTGAATGGGGCACAGCCAACCTTGGCCTCTAGAGCCCCAGGCAGACGGGGACGCTGGCCCCGGGCAGGTCGGTGACTGAGTCCCCGTTGTACAGGATGCAGGGTTTGCTGGCCACCCAGAGCCCAGTGAGGACGGAGGTGATGTGTGACCCTCCTGGAGGTGCCGCTCACCGTAGGTGCCAAATAAACGGTGCGCCCCGAGCTGCAGGGCTGACCCCGTGCCCACGACCGGCCGGGGGCTTTTCCACTCACGGCCTGAGCTCGGAGAGAGGCCGGTTCCGGGGATTTCCAAACACCATGGCCTGGGCTCCAGTGACCCGGGTCACAGCTCGCTGGGCGCGGCGGCGCCTGCGCACTGGCCCTCGGGGGGCCCCTGGCCGCCGGGGGCTGGCTGGTCTCTGTGCCTGACCCTGGGCCCTGCTGTCCCCTGAGAGAGCCCCTTTCCCACGGCCCCTTCACTTCCCACGCTGCTGCCTGGCCTTGGACCCCGGCTCCCAGGGATCTGAAGGGCCTGTGCTTGGCTCGTCGCCTGGCGAAGTTTGGAGAGGCCCGTGCTGTGGTTTCTGGGTGGTCCGCTCCCCCCACAGACAACCAGGCCGCAGGCAGGGGCTCCAGTGAAGGGCTGGCCAGGCCCTCGAGCCAGGCCTGGCTGCCGGCAAGTCTCAGGGCGCCGGGGGCCAGGGAGTCGCTGAGGGCACTGGCCACCCCACCGTGTGGACGACAGGAGCTGGCCTTCTGGGGCCACCGACCGCCCTGGTCTGCCTGGGACTGTGCCCGTTTTAACCCTGAAGACCTGCGTCTCGGGTAAATACGCCCTCCAGTCTCAGCCCGCGTCCAGGGCCAACGTGTGCCCTCGGAGCAGCCTCCGCCCCTGCCCGCCCGCGGCAGGCACCTTGCCCGTGACGTCACGGGGAGTCCCTCTGCTCTGGCAGCTTCCTTCCCCCGCGCTGGGATCTCACCTGGCTCCTCGGTGGGTCCAGGAGGGACAGCGGCACCCAGGCTCTGTGGCAGCCCCGTGGCACGGTCCAGCACGGTCCAGCACGGTCCACGGTCCTAGTCCGGCCTCTTCCTGCCGCCAGAGGTGGCTCGGGCCACACCGCTGGGTGGGCTGCACCTGCCAGGCCAGCTGGGCTCTGGAGGCTGTGCCCACAGCCTGCAGGGCTGCCCCCCCAGGCCCCTCTGGGGTGGCGGAGCTCCACCCCCCGGCAAGGGCTGAGCTATAATTACCTCTCCTCTTGGCAGAAATAGCAGCGACCCCAAGGGCAGGCCGCCGGCCCCAGATCGGGAGAGGAGGTGGCTGTTTCCCAGACCCCACAAACACAGGCCAGGCCTGCAGACAAGATGGGGGTCAACGGCCTGCCTTCCCTCCGGCCCACTGTGGCCTCCAGGCCAATCGGAGCTGTGCGGCTCTTGGAAAAACCCAGGGACTGGGGTCAGAGGTGGGGGGTGGGGCCAGAAAGTGGGGTAATGTGGGGCCGGGTGGGGTGTGGGCAGTAGGAGGGTGGGGTGACAGAGTCCAGCCTCTGGTGGGACTCTTCCCCAAAGTGGAACCTCAGGCGGGGAGGGAGATGTCCTGTCCCCAGACCCCGCACCCACTGCCTGGGGTCCCAGGAGGAAAAGGCACGCTTGTATCTCAAGCTGCCAATTTGGGGCACACTGGCTGAGCCCTGATATTGCCCAGTGTCCAGGGTTGAGGGGATGGCCAGCGGAGGGCTCCAGCATTCCCTGGGGCTCACCCTAGGGTGGCTGGGGCGTTTGGCTCCCTACCCCCACCCCTGCCGCAGGTTCAGAGCCCAGGCAAGTGCCGCTCAGCATGGGGGGGGGGTCACACAGCTCGAAGGTGGACGGTGGGCCCAGCTGCTGATGGCGTCGGGCCTGGGAGGGGTGGTGCCCGAGGCCACGGGCAAGGGGGAGGCAAGTGTGGGCAGCCCCCCGATGGGTTGTTGGGGTTCAATCAGTTGAGGAGGCTGCCAAGGAGGCATGCAGAGATCCCTACTCACGTGTCTCCTCTCGCCACTGGGGAGTGGGGGCGGCACCCCCAGGGCACCCGGGGTACACCGGGCTGGGAGGGGCAGTGGGAGAAGAGGGTCCCCGAGGGCTGTGCCGGGTGCACCCTCCGCGCTGGAGGTCCCAGGGCAGCTTGGCTTCCTGGGTCCCTCTGTCCCTGGCCTGGTAGCAAGCCGCCCCCAGGAGTCCAGCGCTGGCCACCTGGAGGCCCTGTGCAGCTGCTTGGGGACGTCTTCGCCCGCAGCCCTGGCCATGCGGCCAGCTGGCTCTGGTCCCAGCTGTAACGTCCCAGCCTCGTCCACCACCGTGTGCTGCGCCCTCCGCACATGTCTCCGTCCACTGGGTCTCTGCCGACGGGCCTTGCGGGGCGAGACAGGGAGGGGTGGCCCAGAGAATCCTTGGAGCGTCCCCAGTGGCCGGGACGGGGACTCTGAACCAGCACCCCGAGTTTGGCCCCAGCTGGGCCGCTGCCGGCCAGGAGCCCTGACCGATACCTCTCAGGAGAGAACCGCCCCCCTTCCGGTGCGCTGCCCTGTGCCAGCCTGGGACCCTGCTGTTCCCCGGAAAACAGACAATGACCCAGTGGCCATGTGGCCCCGAGGCCGAGAATAGAAAGGGCTTCACCGCGAGGAGCTGCTCACACGGCCACGGGGGCGGAGAGCCCAGTCTGCGCGGTGAGCTGGAGGCCGGGGAGCCCACGTCCCAGCCGGACCGGCAGGCAGAGAGCGACTCCCTCCCTCTGCCTTGTGTCCCCTCCAGGCCCACCCGGGGGAGGCCGCCCACACCGGGGAGGCCATGGCTTCCCTCGGGTCACCATCCACATGCTACCTCGTCCAGACGCCCTCAGACAGCCCCGAATAGCGTCCCACCAGCTGCCGGGGCGCCGGGCCCAGCCCGCCGACAGCTCACCACCCCAGGACTGCTGTTCCTGGGGGTCCGGGTGGCCACGGGGCTCAGGAGGCAGCAGGCTTGGGGTCACGGCCACCTCCATGTTGTCGCCCCCACCCACTCCTGGTGCCGGCCCTGGTGACAAGGTTCACAGTCTCCCCTTCTTTTTAAAAATTTTTTATTGATTTTTTAGAGAGAGAGGAAGGGAGAGAGAGAGAGAGAAACATCGATGTGAGAGAGAAGCATCAGTCGGCTGCCCCCTGCACGCCCCCTACTGGGGACCGAGCCACAACCCGGGCACGTGTTCTGACCGGGAATCGAACCAGGACCTCTCAGTCCACAGGACGATGCTCTGTCCACTGAGCCACACCGGCTGGGCCACAGTCTCCCCTTCCAACCCCGGTCTTCCTGCGGAGCCTGCCGGGGGCAGGGGGGATCAGAGTTGGGAGACCTGTGGGGCCCACAGGCCACCGCAAGTCACAGACTTGGGGGTTAGGGTACCTGGGAGGCACTGTCCCCGCACCCCAGATGCAAGAAAGCAGATTTAGGGGTCCACAGGGCTAGGATGAGAGATGGGGGGCCCCCCACAGTGAGGAGTCAAAGTGCGAGTCTGGTTCACGGTGGACCCAGGTGGGAGATGTTAACTTGGGGTCACCCTCTGTGCTGTGGTGGGTTGAAACGTGGTGCCCCAAAGATGTCCCTGTCAAATCCGGGAAGCGGAATTAATTTATTCGGGAATAAGGTCTTTGCAGGTGTGACTAGATAAGGGACTTGGAGGTGATCCTGGGTTATCTGGGTGGGCCCTAAATGCCTATGCTGTGTCCCTATAAGAGGGAGGCTTGAGCGTCGTGCCATGGGTGGGGAGGTCCGGGTTCGATTCCTGGTCAGGGTGCATGCCCAGGTTGCGGGCTTGATCCCCAGAAGGGGGCGTGCAGGAGGCAGCTGATCGATGCTTCTCTCTCACATCGATGTTTCTATCTCTCCCTTCCTCTCTAAAAAAAAGAGGGAGACTTGACCCGGAGGCGGCACCGCTCAGCCCAGGTCTTGGTTCGGGACCTTTCGGGCCCATCAGAGAAGACGTCCGCTGCCCGGTCCTGGCACGTGGCTGTGGCCTCACCGCGGAGGGTCGACCAGCCCTGAGATGACAGCAGGGCCACGGGGCTGGAGAAGGGACCTGAGTGCCCAGGGACCGAGCAGAGTGGGGTCCGAGGACGAGCCCCGGGCCCTGAGCGTGAGGAGAAGCTGGTGGGGCCGGGAGAAGGGAGAGGGCTCTCGGGTCACTGCCGGTGCAAGAGGGGCGAGGACTGGAAAGTCACCTGGGGTGTGGCCAGAGCTGCTTGGTAGGCTGGTGAGAGCAAAGCCCGCGGGTGGGGGTTCAGGAGAGAAGGAAGGGGGGCAGACAGTACAGGCTTTGGGTTGGATCTGGGTGAGACCCAGGAGGGAGTGGGCAGGCGGGGAGGATTTCTACCAGGCAGGAACGGCTGGCAGTGAGGTAGTGAGTCCTCTGTCACTGGAGGCAAGCAAAGGATGATTCCTGCTTCTGGGGGCTCTCAAAGTCTCCTCGCCTGGGCATAGGGCCCAGTGGGGAGTGCAGAGGGAGGGAAGCTCGCAGCGTGGAGTGGAGGCGCCAGCCCCGTCCCCCGTGCTCCTGACATGACCGCCAGGTGGAGGTTCTTCTCTCTGGGCTGTTGTTTTTAAATTTTTAATTATTTTATTTTTTTTGGTTTCACTTATTTTTTTTTCCTTATTGTT